CAAAATGCCTACAGGGGTCCAAATTAACAGGTTCTAATTAGAAAAAAAGAACAAAAAAGCAGAAGACAAGAGGAAAATAGATTAGGAAATGCAACAAGTTTGCAGCTGGAAATAGACGCCACTATGAACTTCCTGTTTTGGACCATCAGGATGTGACGCCTTCCTCTTACTGCCGTCTCCTTTCATCGCTCTCAGCTCTTTTCCTCCCTGAGCTGCTCAAATAGCCGTGTCCTCATTTCAACATACTTTCAGCGATCTTATCAAAACAAGCTCAGCCAACGGACTGCAGCAACACCCACTCCCATGTCTCTCTCTCACACTTATCTGTCCGCGTGTCACTTTTTTCTCTAGTTTTTCTGCACCAGCGCTGCGGGAACATTTCATCAGATTTCGTAAAAATATAAATAAATCAGTGAGGATCTGACTCACTGATTTAAGACCACTATGAATGCAATTTAAGACCTGTAACATGACAGAAATGTGCAAAAAACCTGAATAATTTCCACTAATAGTGCTGCCTTTTTGCACAGAATGCAGATAGCATTTTATGGGATGGCAACAAAGTAAAGTCGGTGTGAATTTGCAAAAAAAAAATTACACTCAAAGAAGCTAGCTAGCACGTAGAAATGCTGAAAAAAAAAAATTATTTCAAGAATCACAATTTGTAGTCCTAAGATTTCTGAACATAACAGCTAAAACCAAAACACTTAATCATTACTTCAATTTAGATTTTTATTGACAGATAAGATAAATGAAAATGAGCACAAGCTGTAACTTTTTGCAGATTATTTATGGGACATATGGGAGATATAAAATATCTAAAGCCACGAGAAAACGTAAGTGCTATGATTAATGTATTTAAGGCCAATTAAATCCTTTTTTTAATGAATCTTTGACACATTAAGGCCTAAATTTTAGGCACATGAATCCCAGACATTTTAAGGCTGCACGGACGCCCTGCTTACCTCTTCCTCACTGCACCACGCAGGCCGTGCAGCACTGCTCCTGCTTTTCCGGCAGTGTGGAGTAGTTCATCTGTCGGACGATCTCTGCGAACAGCTCGTCCACCATCGTCTTGCTCTTGGCGGACGTCTCGATGAAAGGGCAGCCCCACTCCTGAGCCAGAGCCCGGCCGTCCGAGCCGGCGACTTCGCGCTCCGACTCCAGGTCCACTTTGTTGCCGACCAGGATCAGCGGCACTTTCTCAAAGCGCTTGACTCGCACTATTTGGTCTCGCATCGGCCTAATGTCCTGGAAAACACATGAAGAAAAAGTTTAAAGGTTTAAGTGGTCTGATTTCCATTAGGATGTTCTAAAACAATAACCTTATCAGCTCCTTAAATATTAGATTAATATGTTTTCATGTTAAATATTTTCAGTTCATTCTTGTATTTTAAAAAGCTATTTAATAACGGCTGCATCTAAAAATTATTTCATTTATTGAATAATCAATTAACTATTCTGATAATCGGTTAAAAACTTGGCACATTCTGCTGATTTTTCACTTTTTATGCAATATTAGAAATACACGAAAAGGTGCAAATAACTGACTAGATAATGTAAAGCTTTTTTCAAATTAGAAAAGTGTTCACTAAAGGAATGATGTGTTATTGCTTTTTCAGAAACAAAATGTTTATTTTCTTCTCCAACAAAAGACCAGTATTATTTATTTGCATCTTTTTATGCATTTTAAAACTGTATAAGTTAAGCTTATACAGAAAAATCTGCAGAATGTGCTAATTTTAAAAAATTGATTTCAATTAATCATCAGAGTAATCAACATAAGTCTTGATAACTAAAATAATTGCTAGCTATGGCTGTAAAGTGAGATCAATGACATGGTCTGTATTAGTAATAAGAAAGAAATTATTATCAAACATTATTATGTTCTGCCATTAAACTGCAATTTTATTCTGTTGAATTTATACATTTATCACCTTTAATGTGATAGGTTGTAAATGGTTTATAGAGTAATGAATAGAAAATTTGGTCTGATAAAGAAGTTAAAATGTTAAATGAACAGCAAGAGAGGACAACTACTGAGTAAAAACACACAAAACTTATCAGTAAAATTAGCAATATTAATTATTATTTCATTTATCTACCAAATTTTCCACATATTAAACTTCTTTTGCAAAGCTAATACTGAAGTAAACCCATTCAATTTAAGCTCCAAAACACTTTGAAGAAAGAAATTTACAAAATTTGCATTCAAATTTTTCAGGAGATAAAACAAATCCTTATTGTAACTTAAAAACTGACCGTATTTGATAATTAGTACAGCTTAGCTGGGATTGGTGTTTCTGTTTAAGCTGTCTTTTAGAGATTATTTAATCTCTTAGAGATAAAATTATGGTTAATAACCACAAAGTGTCTCCAGAATCGCTGTGTACAGACTGCTACAAGAGATCCTTTCTGCCCACAGCTCTCAGCATCCTCAACTTGATACATTGTTTGATTTAAAACTATATTTTTAAATCTTTTAAATAATAATGAGAATATACTAAAACATTGGTATTGGCCTGTCATTGCAATGACAGGATGTAGATGTTGGGAATCTTCTGTCAATTTTAACATATATATTCAAATAATTCCCAATTACTGAGTCTGTATGGATTAATTGCTTACCTGGAAGGACTGCTGGTTGACCAGGCTGTAGACCAGGATGAAACCCTGGCCGTTCTTGATGTACAGGTCTCTCATGGAGGCGAACTGCTCCGTCCCCGCCGTGTCCAGAATCTCCAGCACGGAGGGCGACGAGTCCACCTCTATCTCCTTCCGGTAGAAGTCCTCGATGGTCGGGTCGTACTTCTCGATGAAGGTGCCGGTGACAAACTGCACGGTGAGCGCGGACTTGCCGACGCCGCCGCTGCCCAGCACGACAACTTTGTATTCTTTCATTGGGGCGGTGGAGGCTGGCTAACGACGCAGCTATACTCCCTCCATAAACGCTGCTCAGGCCCGAGGAAACTGCTAACAAGTAAAAGCGAAATAAAATCAGCCCTGCTCACTCACATAAACCCCGCTCCGACACTCATGTTTGTTTTCCTGTCTTTCTTTCTGTCTGGCCTGTTAGCGCCTGAAAGTTGCTGTCGGTTAACTCCGATGTTAGCTCACGGTGAAGCTAGCTCCTGTCTGGCTGACTTCCAGCTGAGCCATCCCGGAGCTTTGAGCCTTCACAGCCGATCGGATGCAACACACAAGTCGGCCTGGACTCTCTAGAGAACTCGCCTCCTATATACAGACAGCAAGTCACGGTGATCCGCGTTTAGCCTCCCCTAACCACAGCATGCCACTTCCCTCACCCACACATCAACCCTCCGGTGTCGCAGCGCTGCTTACGTCCGGGGTCCAGTCTGGGGCCTGGTTCTGGTTCCGGACCCGGCCCGACAATTTGGCAGCTTCGCGTCCTATCGACTAAGGATTTGTGCAGTTTTCCAGCGGTCCATTAGCTACGGGGTTTTAGCTTCTTCGGCCTTTGTTGGGCTCAGTGTGGAGGAGTTTTTTCCAGGAGAAGGACAATCTTTTTCCTCCAACTGGTTTCCTGAAGCTAACAGTCTGCTTCCGCAAAGAGGCAGATTTCACAATAAGAGCCTCTGCAGACCTTCGTGCTGAGTTGCCCATTACACCGGAAGTTGGAACGCTGATTTGAGAATGACGTCACCCACAACATAACTTGGGATTTGCTATATATGCGAATTAGAGATACAAGCCAATAACTAAAAATGTATCTGCATTTTATGTATTTAAACACATTTAAGGCACATTTATGTGTTTCTGAACTGCATTTGTAGTTCAGAAATGTCCTACAAATGTAGGACTGAGACTTTTTTCTGTCTATAAAAATAAAGAAACTACAACTTCTGAGTATAAGTGAACCAAGACACATCAAGAAGTCACACAAAGTATTACATTGAATCCAAATTAACCGTGTTCTACTTGCTAGTCTTAAACTCTGTACCAATAATTTTAAGTCAGATCAGATTGACTGGGCCAATCAATCTCACTTATTTATGAATTATGATTGAGGGTTAGTGAAAAACCTTCAACTTTCCCTCTTTGAGTTCTGGTTTCTGGGGATATTTCAGTTGATTTTTATGACTCAGAACTAAAATATCCCAACTTCTAAGCAAAAACAGATTCCAGTACTGCAGGAGAGATCTAAGATCACATCTGGGTTTGACAGCAGTAAAAAGTCAGAAAAGTAGAGCTTTTAACCATTACTGCTGGGTGACCAGGCTTACGTCAATTAGAAATACAATAAAACATTTTATGCTCTTAACACTGTAGTTGAATTTTTATATCTAATGGATGTAAATGTTTTCTTATGGCTTAGTCCTCAACAGCTTTAGGCCTTCTTTGTCTTCAACAGGCCGACATTCAGTCTGTGATTTTTGAACTCAACTTATACCGAAACGCAATAATGCACAGACAAGTGCTGTCTTAATAAATGGGAAATCTTTGACTTTTCAATCAGTTCCATTTGATTTCATTAAATTAAAGCAAAGCATTCCAAAATGTAAGTACAGATATTTTGTATTTGTAAATTGCCACACAACCACAGAAGTCTAATGTCTATGTCGTCACACCAAATTTATGCACGTTCATTTTGCAATAGAGTTGCTAATTGTTATGCTGTGTTTGATTTGCATCAAAACCATCTTTTGGTTGCTTGTTGAAAAAATAAAATAAAATAAACAGTGGAACTGAGCTAAACACTCATCCCTGAGGTATTCCTGAGCTAAGTTTGAGGATGAAGCTTGACATTATGTGCAAATGATGTCATTAATTTTAAAAAAAAATGTTACATTTTGAAGAGTAACATTCGGCCATTAATACTGTACACAGAGTACACTATTTTATTATATCTGACTTGGTGTGGATGCTAAAAAAAACAAACATTATTGATGATTTTAATTTTTGGGAAGTGCTGTAAATATCAGATCATCTGCATGTAAAGCAACCAGATAAGCAGGGAAAAACACAAGACTGCAAGAGGCTTACCATGATGTGTTTTATTTAAGGTCAAACAGAAACAGCAGAATTGATTATAGGCACATTAACTCTCAATACCTATACAGTGCAAAGTAAATTTGCGTGGAGCACAGCAGCACATACAAGCACCACAAGCAGAAAGCCGAATGAAACAATAGATGAGTTAGAAACAGCAGTCAGTCTGTCCTAAAGCGTCCGGGAAAGATTTTCTTATGGCTTAGTCCTCAACAGCTTTAGGCCTTCTTCGTCTTCTACAGGCCGACATTCAGTCTGTGATTTTTGAACTCAACTTATACCAAAACGCAATAATGCACAGACAAAAGACTTGAAAAAAATACCCATACACATTCAGTTGACCGTTGTTTGTGAATTTAACAAAAAAAATACACTTTGTACTATGAAGGCACAATAACAGCAAACAGACAATACATAAACTTGAGAAATTATTCACCTGTAAGTGGTAAAAATAACAAAAAAAAAGTCCCAGTGTGGAGAGGCTGAGAGTATGAAAAGAACCACTGAAGCTTTAGGGAGTTTGCTTTGATCAGAGATCCATTTCAACACTCAGCAGTCGCAGAGCTGTGAACCAATTCAGCTGCATGACTCAATCAATCCACAACAGGCAACAAAATCACTCGCTCCGATAGCAATGCAATCGCTTGGCGTGTCAGTTTCTGATAAAATCATGTCTGTGTGAGAATGCTTCTGCAGAAGTAAAATCAGAATTTCAAATTTAAACCCTGTAAGAATATCCGGCACGCACTCTCCTCTTAATTTCTTTCTCCTCATCCTATTTTTTTCTTTCCTTCTGGCTATTTTCAGCTTCAGGAGGTGATTTTCCTACATGTTGTAAATAATGACATGGATTTAAGGGCAAAGATGGCACTGATCTCCTAAAGTTATTGCAGACTTAGTGGTAATCCACCTGTTCTTTTCAATGTCAGAGAATAATGAAAGAAATATTTCTCCAGAGTAAACCAACCACAGTTTACAGTTGACACAGTTTAATGCGTGTCATCACCAACACACAAACAAAAGGACAGATACCTCAACTGTTTTCACACTGTAATAAAACAATAGACACACCGCTAACAATACGCTGATTGGTTATTTTTAATCATCTCTTTTATCTGTAATATTCAAAATAAATTTGGAGTATTTATGTACATAAGTGCAAACGAGGTGAACATTACACATTCTTGTACATGTAGTCAGGACTGACATCACCCAGCACAGCTGGACATCAAGAGACTTCTGGACTATTTTTGGTCCAAACTGAAACACAACTAGCCAACAAAAAGCTCTGCAGCAACAGATTGTTTGGTTTGCAGGATGTGAATTAGTTTGACTTTACACTGTGTCCAAAAAGCCTCTTTACCTTGCTGACAGAAACATGTTTGCTTTAAAAGTCCTTTCTTGTTTCAGAAAAAACCATAATGTACAAGAAGACAAACATTTATGGTCAACAAAAGCAAACAAAATAAAACCTGACCTGACTTTGGAAATCACAAGGATTTAATCTGTCTATATAAAATATACAAGCACAATAGAAGCTAATTAGACATTCCTTTTCTCAAACAAAACAGGTAATTAAGTTTATAAAATGATATGATAATAGGAAGGTAGCCATGTTGTCATTTTCTTGCCATTGATTTTTCATTTATATTATTTTGCAGTTTGGTGTGAATTAGTTTTTAAAATATAAGGTGTGACATTTATTTAAACGTGCCACAGTTTCAAATGGTGGTCAGAAAAGTAGACCACCAAGTAGTAAATTCAAGCAGTCTTTATTTAATATTTTATTTGATGTTTTGTCATTCAAGATGAATCATTGGAAAGAAATACAGCAAGACCCCAAGAGACTGAAGTCAGTGAAGGTAGTCTGAAGTTAGGTTAGCAAGAGGAGTGAGTATTTTTACTTTTTTGGCATGAAAATCAGTTTTTCTCAGCTGTTTTTGTTTACTTCAGAATGATCTATGAAAAGATTAAGCTGCTCATTTTGAAGTAACAGGCTTATAAAGTTTGATTCGCTGTGCAGCATCAGCCACAATGATTGGCACAAAATCCTTGAAGTGAATCCTCGTTTTGGAGACTTTGTGAAGCCAAAATTGACTGATTTCCTCAAACTGTGAGCTTTGGGGATTTTCTTATCTCCTTGACTGTCCTGCTTTCTGACTTGTTTGTCTCCAATCCAAGTGTTTCCAACTTTTAACCATTTTTCTGAGAGTAAATATGACCTAATTTAGGAGAAAAGCCACTTTCTTGTAGCCATTCCTGTCTTCTTCCAATACTCAACAACTTCCTTGAGTGGCATGTTCTCTTGTCTTTCCCATGTTAAACGTGGCTAAAAGTGACGGTTGTCATTTTAACACCAGGAAAATATATATTTTTAATTGTCTTAAGAAGATATAAATATTAAATTATAATTATTTCATAGAAAATCATAAAGATAAAAACAATTGTGACTGTTAAAAAATAAAAGCGCTTAAATTAAAGGAATAATTTTTCTAAAGTTTCCGGTTGAAAATTGTGACATCTTTTAACACAGATGTCAATTATTGTGAAAAGGAAAAGGAAGAAAAGGAAGAATAAAAAAGAAAAAAATAATGAATGTGAAAGCTGCAGAGGGATGAGCTGAATTTTATATTAGAAAAAAGTGTGGCACACTGACTTTCTCTTTCTCTATCAAATATGCAGATTTGTTTTTAGTGCACCTTTCCCTCATTAAAAACAGATAGAAAAAACAAGCTCCATTAAATAAAGAAGACGTGCTTGAAATTAAGTTTTAGACCTATACATTATTTTGTATAGATGCATCTGAGTTTTTGGGCTTCACATTTTACGTTTAAATTTAGTGTTAGTTTTGGCAATAAACATTTAATTAAAGTTTGACCTGCAAAGCAAAGTTCAAAGAGAGTCGTGTGAGTTGACAGGAATAAACTTTGGACATGTTTCAAAAAAAGTTTCTTACAGATAAATAACCTGTTTACGTCTTTATAATTAGTGTTCTCTAAAGAAATTATTTTCTGCTGCGTTTGCACCTCAAACAGCACAACTCTGATCTAAATTTTCTAAAAGGTGAAAAATATTTCTGTTTGTAGCCACACCACGTAATAACATTAAATATAAATCTATATAACAATACATACATTTCTATACATCTTAACACAGTATCATCATGGTACCTCTGAAATAGTTTATATATGGTGATAGTAACATTTCAGCATGCCTGTCGTTCAGGGGGGCACATGTATAGTTTTTGCATTAGGTACATTCACAACACATCAACATTATTCTAAAATGGAAATGCTGGAACATCTGCAGCACTTAAAACCAACTAAATCTGTGTGAAATTCATTTTCTCACATTTTACCCCCCACCACTAACCTCACTGGTTTATGTATTTATTACACTGACAAGACAGCACAGCTGTCTCTGAGAAGAAACTAGACGTGGTTTCGCGCAACGTTAACAACGTACTAAATGAGTGATGCATCTTTGAGCACTCATAGTTCTTACAGTGTTTCGACAGTGATGGTTTAAGGAGACTTGAAAGAGGCACATTTGAACTTGAATGAAAATGCTTTCTGCCCACTATTCTAAGTTCAGTCTCACACACAAAGAAAGCAGTTCATTTCAGCGAAAATAACAGGTGTATTTGTATTTTTTTTTACCTCTAATGTCTGATTTATTTCTTCCATTTTCGACCTCTTGTAATCATTCAACTCTGACAACTTCTGACAGAAAGGACACAGCAGTAGAAAAGGTGATGATATAAAGTCGGACACGACATTTTCAAGTTCTAAGATTTCTCCCTGAAGTGCCTTTAAACAATAAATCTTGTGCCACTTATTTACTTAAAAAGCAGCATGAAACTAATAATACCACATAGAAATTTATTTTTTAAGATGGATCTCTGCGTTCAACATTTGCACATTATTTGGAGGAATCAACTTGGGTATTGCGATAAATGGGCAACTTCTTGCATATTCAGACTTTAGGCACAACATCAGGAAACAGATCCAGCTTCTGCCTTGTGCAATGGCTGACATCAGATGGGAAGAAAAGGTTAACAGTTTGCAATGTTTGAGATGACTCAGGATTATAATCGACTAATTGTAAGATTTATGTAGAAGACAGAAACAATTATGAGTTCTTTAAATCAAAAAACAAAAGAATGAAAACAAACTAACCCTTTCTTTTAAGTTGTTGCATCATAAAACCTCACAAACAGAATAGATCCGGCAAGAATTATGTAAGGCGGTTTGTTTTTCAAGACCACAGTCCGAATCCCCTCTTCACACTGGACTAGATCGGACATGAACTTTTGTGGGATTGATAAGGAGGATATAATTAAGAACAAGTTGGTTAAAATCATCAGCGGTATGGTGGCGCCATTGTCAATATCGATGGACACATTTTAGCATTTTGGATGAGATTTTAGCTAACAAACTGTAATTTTTATAAAATAGTAAATGTTAGGTATATCGCAAAGTATTAGTTGTTTATTAATAATGTTTTTGCTTTCATTTTAATTTTATAGTAAGCACCTTTTCCTCAAAAGCAGACTTGGTTGGATCTATTCGTTTAAAGTAGGATAAATATGGCAACCATTTTAAATATAAACTTGCATTTCCAGTTGGTAAAAGTTTCTCCAGACAAATAAAAAACAAATAACAAATAAAAAACTAAACATTTTACTCAAAATTTGAAAATGCCTCTATTAGCAATCAGTCTTATGGTGTTGGAAAGCCTGATTATCCTTCAAATTGTCTTGTATGAAAAAAAAAAAGGTTTTTGATGCTCAGCATTTCTTCTCAACCTACAAAGGCATTTCCTTACAAATGTGGCACCTTTTAAAAAATAGAGGGGGATTCTGCAAACTGGCAAAATATGTGTTTTTCATATTTTATGAGTAAGGTTTTTTCATCCTTTAATTTGGTGTCAGGATAAATTAATTTATATATTTAAATGTAAGAGTTAAAGAACTTTGCAAAATTAATCATTGTTTAATTGCTGTGTTATAGTCACAAATAAATGCTAAAAGTTACATTTTTGCTTTCTGTTAGAGATCGGTTTGTCCGTAAATAGTAATGGCATAATTATCTTTGATTGAATTAAAGGTCAGATAATTAAACTCTGTCTTTTCTCCCAGATTACACCAAATCTGTATTGAAATGCCTGTAACAGGAAAGACCCTCAAATTACTTTATGACCCCAAAAACGGCCCTAGATTAAATTTAGTCCCAAATGGTTTACTGTAGGCTGGTCTTAATCTGGTGTGAAGGAGGTCTAAAACATCCTATATGCCTATTTAAGTTATACTGAGTACAACCTTATTTTACATGTTTAATGATTCCTCGTTTGCTGCTTTAATGATCAAAATAATGTTTAAAATCAGGCAAAAACTTTTAAATCCTGCAAATTCAACTGTTGACACCTTCATTGTTCATACAATCGTCCTTTGTTAGCAGCCACTCGCTGATATGCAGCAAACTTCAAATTGGTATTGCCTTTAATTTCACATGTGGACATCTCTTTAATCGTTGCTGTTTAGTTTTGTTTTTTGTTTTTAGTCCTTTTTAGAAACCAGGTCTTCTCTGCAGCTCAGCAGGAAAAACTCAAAGGCACAAACAAATTAACAGCTTCTTTCTGACGTTTCATCAGGCATCGGATGAGAATAAACTGAATGATAGACAACACATGGTACAACACATACTAGATTTGTAGTCGTCTTGAAACATAAATGTTCATGTTATGAAACATTCTTTCATTTTTAAAACGAGTCATGGTTGAAGACCAGCAGCAGGTCCATTTGCAGCTCCAATGTTCTGAGTATCCAGAATGAACTTTTCTTACTTTGGATCAGTCAGGTGTGTTGGGCTGCCTCAGGTAATGGCTGCAACCCATAAAGGGCTTTTAGTCTTGAATGTGTGTGTGTGTGTGTGTGTGTGTGTGTGTGTGTGCGTGTTTGTGTGTGTGTGTGCGTGTTTGTGCACACGTTTAAGGTGTGGTGTGTGTATGGCTGTCAGAACGAGGGAGCTCTATTGCTCATCACGTCAGGATGCATCGTTGTGGCTGCAGTGAAGCAGCTTTAAGTTCTGGCTTGTATTGCGTGAACCATTGCAGCTTTTTTTTTTTTTTACATTTTATTTTATAAACATTGTATAAGAAGTTTCACACTGACACTCGGTCGGTGCGCACTGTGGGCGAGGCACATGTTTGCTGCAGAGCTGCAGGTTTTCAGGGACTCTAACTGGGGTTTCGTGAAAGGCTTACTGAGTTTATTCCCACTGGAGCCGCCACCAGCAGTTTGGGGACCGGGCAGAAATGGTTTTCCATGGGAACACTCTGCAGCTCCACCGGGTCAGGGGTCAGAAGCTCGGAGGAGTCTACTGAAACAAGCAGAGAGCAAAGAAACAGGGAGGAATGAGATTTAGTGATTATGTGCATTTCTGAAACTTTAACTGCATCTGGTGGCCACACTGGTGTTGGCTGGTTTCCTGTAAGGGCAGCAATGTGTTTCCATTGAGCTTTTAGTTGCGCAAATTCGAATCAAGTTTTTTGATAAAAAGGTTTCGAGCGAGGAGGAGGTGGTTTGTCAGCTGTATCGAAATTAGTGTCTTTCTTTCGCATGATCAACAACCGGAAAAGACGAAGAAGATGACAGGAAGATGATGGTTTTTTTAATGATTTATCACTTAAATAAACTTATTCATGTGTGATTTTACTAGTATTTCTTAGTTAATTTCTTAGTTAATTGTGAAATTGACATTAGTGGAATATCGACAAATTAATACATCATAAAACTTGATAGAATGAGATTAAGCAGTCACGGTGGCAGAACCAAAGAACCAGAGACCGCTCTGAACTCTTTGGCTACGTTCACACTGCAGGTCTTGATGCTTATTTCCAAGTTTTTGCTGAAATCAGATTTTTTATTTTTTGCATAATTGTTCATACTGCTGAATAATGCAACTAATCAAACTTTTGTGTGAATGTTTTACGACCCCAAAGCGACCCACATGCGCTGAAGAGGAACTTAAATGTGACACAGCAGCAAATCTTTTTATGGAAGCGATAATGGATGGAGCCGTTTATGGATCGATTTTAAGTCTTTACAGGAACGAGAGCTGACAATAAAATCATAACACAAACAAAGAAAGCTAATAAAAAGAAAGCACAACTAATAGTGACCACCTTTTGTGGAGAACAATGTCTGTAGAGAAATCGGTTTGGATGTGCAGTCAGAGTCAAGAGTGAAACGGACGATTTTTATAAGCTAATAATTATGACTTTTTCAATACGCTTTGGATTTTTAGTGGTGTTCATATTTCTATCAATCTTTTCTTATGTATAATTTTAGCTATTTTGTTTTATTCCTGTTCAGTCCAGTACTTGAGTATTTACAGATAATTCATTTTGGTTTGTAAAATGAATTATCTGTTAAATCAAGCATAAAAATGCCCCAAACTCAAGTGATGAGTCACTTTTGCTTACATACAACAGATGACTTAGTTAATGTGAATCAGGATTTTTGGGTCTTATTAAAGACAAGTTGTAACAACAACACTACTTTAAAAAACATTTTTATTAGCTAAAAACTTGGCATTCAATCGATGGTTGATAGAAAGATGAGGAAGGATGATGGCCCTCAGTCACACTTTCTCTTTTTATATAAGTAGTCAGAGCTACTACATACTCACAATAATGTCAGATAAAAGGACATGATTGTCAAACCTCCAAGAAATCTCTTGAAAGATCTTCAGAAAACCTGGAGAAATATAGATCAAGAACGCTTTAAAAATGCAGTAACGTACATCTCATCCTTAAGCTTTTGGACAAAAATGTAATTTTAGATTTAGAAATTATTTTAATTAAATAAGGAGGCAGATAAAAATAAAAATCCATTTTAGAAATGATTGATTTCACTTTTATTTAAGAGTCAATGTGCAGTGCCGTGCAAAAGTATTTTATGCAGTTGAATTTTTTCAGATTTTATCACGTCACAAAGGCAAACCTTAATGTATTTTCTTAGGCTTTGGTATCGTAATCAGCCACAGACATGAGGTAGTGGACAGAAAATGCAACCTGGTTTTCACTGTTTCCTATTTACAAATAAAACTGCTCTTAACCTCAGCTTAAATCGAGATGTTCTGTGTAGAACTGGGAGATTTTTTAGAGAACTTTTTAAACAAAGAGAATCATTATAGAGTTAAGATCAAGGTTGTTGCTTTGAATTTAGGCAAAGATGTAATTTCTGGAGAAAATGAAAATGAGCAACGTTTCTGTTGAGGTTCCTGATAGATGTAAGATAGATGTGATGTGGTTAAAAAAAAATCTAAGAGACTTCCTGATAAAATAGTTTCGCACTTTAAGAATTTCCTGTTTTAATTGGCTCGTCTTACAAAAAGACTAAAAAGGGACGACACATGAAATGTGAACAGAACTCAGTATAAGCAGATGGTTTCTTTAACTAAATAAAAAGAGACACTGAGCTACAGAGCTAAAAGAAAACAGAACTGAAATGAAGGAGCAAACCTGATTCGAGGCGGCGGATTCAGCGAAAGGGACAGTGGTGACGGGGGTCGAGGCCGACGAAACAGTGGAGGTGGCACCGTGCATCATGGGAACTTTAATTCAGGCGAGTCAGACGAAAGACAGAGGACGGGGAATGTGGGAGGAGCAGGAGGAGGAACGGGAATGATATGGTTATCATGGAAAAATGTGCAGAATAAAAAAAAAAATAAAATCATGGGAAATAAAGTGATGAAGATGAGTTTAAACGGATATCAGGAGTCATGCAAACAAAAGAAGAGAAAGAAAAATACATATTTCATTAGCTAACCACTTATCAAATAAAATACTAACCAACAAATAGTTCACCAAACAAGGAGGTACATGACCATACAATCTGATCAGACTGGAGAATCTGATAATTGTATTCAATGAACTGGGTATGAATATGGAAAAGAGCCATTAAAAATACAGATTTTCAGTTAAAAGACAATGTAAAAATGGTCTGTTTAGCTTCTTCTGGTGCAGAATCATGATGCATGTCTCATGTCAGTTATGTAAAGTCAGATAAAATAAAACATGGGAACTTTAATTCAGACTGCAGACAGTCAGAACATCTGCAATCAGATCTAAAAACAAATAGATAAGTATCCAATCTCGTATTACGCATGGAAGTGGCAAAAATCAGATTTTTTGGGGAGTGAAAATGTTGAATCGAACCGTTCAAAGTGCTGTGAAAAAGTAGGATATGCATCAGATTTGTCTGCTGTGTGAACATATGTTAACTATAGTGCTGATTATCATACGATGCTGGATGTGCAATAAGTCCAGTTGTGAAATCTCATCACTAGTAACAGTGCTTTCACAAAGATTAATTTCCATTGGGAACCAAAATTGCAACATTTGTTACAATTTTAGCTTGTGTGGTACTCTTTATGACTGCACTGTCAAACCAACCAAACACTTTGAATGACCTGTTCCCCTCCTCGCCTGTAGGGGCGCTGCACCAGAACCCAACGAAGGAAACAACACAAGCCCTCTAAAGAAGGCACTTCCTTCAGAATGCAAACAAAAATGAAGTAGCATCAGAATTTTGCAGTTGTGGGATTTCTCTTTTGTCTTTGGTAAAAACTACAAGTAATTTATCCTGCTAGTGCTAGACTCAGTGTTTGTTTTGGTTGTTTTTACCCAGAATGCCCGACTGGCGCTGTAGTCCACTTCCTGCATTGGGAGCAGTTTCCGGTCTTACATGCCAAACAGAGTTCACTTCAACTAAACCGAGACCGAGGTTTTTAGACGGACCAGAGTTTACTTCTATGTCCCAAATTAAAGTTTGATTGTGCATCCAAACCTCCACAAACAAACCGGACTTTTTCAACTTTCTAAACAGAGCTGATGTGAATGCACCCTAAATATTTCAGCTCCAGCTGTTCGTGGTGTTAGTCAGGGGTCTTCTGATGAGCTGCTCAATCCAACCCTTACTTCATCAAATCACTAAGGTTTGGAGGCTCTGGACTGCAGAGGAATGGAGGAGTGTCCCTGGCATGACAAAGCTTGCTTCAGTCTGACAATGCCCTTGGGCGAGCCTCGTCTGGCAGCAGCAACTTGCCCTGCTGCATTGCATCAAAGGACAAGCAGATTATTAACATTTCTTTAGAGAAATTTATGCTCCCAACTTTGAGGGAGCAGTTTGGGGATGGGCTCTGCATGTTCCTACAAGAGCACAAACTAAAGACAATGAGAGAATCTGATGTGGAGGAAACGATCTGGCTACCGTGTTTGACAGTGGCAACAGGTTTTCTGCAGTTTGTAAGTTTCCTCTACTGAGCTTTAACACTGAACATGCTTCCTGAGGCCTGTAGAGTCCAACATGTCACTGTGTGACTCCAGAGTCAATCTGCTGGTGCAAGCCCTCCTGCAAAGACTGGAAACGATCATAAATTTTGTAAAATTATAATATTCAAATTGTTTGGAAATAGCTTCATATTACTGGTTAGTGCCCAACCTCATTGGGACTCTGTTCAGAAACATCTGAACGCTCCAGACAAACAAAGTGCCTCTATATTTACATTCACTGAGAATCAATTAATTGCTTGAATGTGATTAACTGGCTGCTAATTTCTCTATAAAATCCAAAGAAAGCATGGGAATTTATTTTTAATGAATAATTTCTTTTTTTTAAAGGCAGTTGAGATCCAGATGAAACTACAAAAATGTGCAAAGATGAATATTGAATAATAGATCCCTTTTAAGTTTTGTTCTTTCTTCGTGATTCAATTTTCTTTGTGAACAGCCACAAAACACAAAGCTACTCTCTGTACTTCAGAGATAGTCTTCTGTGACATTCCTGTTTTGATACAAATGTGGCCAAGCACTTCTGTTTCAGTTTCAAAGCTTATTCCAGTCTATGTTTGTACAGAAATTATTTCATTGTGCAAAATAACTTTTTACCAATCATCAGACGTTTTGCCTCGTGTTCCAGGGTGAATTCATGAATTTCCACCAACACACGTTCATCTCTGGGAAAGAGACTCCCTTCCTGAACAACATGGCGGCGTGATGTTACTGTAATGTTTATGCTTTAATTCTGGCACCTTCAGGCGTCCATTAAGTAGGGCGGGGCAATAAATTGATTTAATTGATTAATCAATATTTTTTTGTTTTTGAAGATTACATTTTTGGGAAATCTGTTTTTTTTTCATCAATGGGTTTGAGAATCACCATCTTGGCTGATAAGCGTGTTTTACAGCTTCAATTTATTTCAACCGTGAATTCAGGTTAACTTACAAAGAGATGCTGCTTTAAAATACTATAGATGTCACAGTTTTTCAGCGTCTCCTCCTTTTAGAGGATATTTTTTTTTCTTTTAAATGTGATGTTTTTGTTTTGCATGAGCGCTGGGCCCTGATGTTGCTGCGTTCAGAGACTCACCAGTGGGGATGAAGGCTGGTTGCTGGAGCTGCATGTTAGCCAGGGCTTGCTGGTAGTGGAACATGCTAGGGTTGAAGACTGCAGCTGCAGCGCCGTTGCTCTTCTCTAAAATCTGCCTTTTTGGCAGCGACTGCATGCTGCCTGGAGCTAAAGCCTGGCCAGGTGGATAAATAAAGTGTGAAAAAGACATAAAGAATTTCAACAGACTTTGTTGTACAGAATATAAATACTTAAAATGTATTCCAAGACCGTATTGTTGTGTCTACTATGGCTCCAGAGATTGTAAACATTTTTACAGCCACAAGGGGGCGCTTCAACCTAAAATGTGAACTTAATGGGTGCAGGACCACACCAACATCAAATAAAAATGAGAATAAAAGCAAGTCTTTATTTTCCAAAAGGGGCATTGCTTCTGACTGCACAAAAGAATGACCACATAAAATGAGCAAAATGCCAATAAATTAATTCTTAAACTGCTGTGGGATGTAACAACAACATGACCCTGAGATATATCTAGCTATCAAAATAAAGCTTATTAAACTTTAAGTGTGTGTGTATGTCTGGTAAATTTTTGGATAAAAATCAAGTTTGTTATTCATTCAGTGAAATTACTTACAATGAATAGAAAATTCAGAAATTTTACTCAAGTAAGAAAAGGGATACTTTGCAATGAAATTACTCAAGTAAAAAGTAAAGCGCAGCAAACTACTCATAAAACATTTTTTTTCCAAAAATGTACTCAAGTAAATGTAACTTAGTAAATTAAACTAGTTACTATCGCTGTCAGGTTCAAGTGTACATCTCAACATCTTAGAGGATGGTAGAAAACATGTTGCATGGTCACAAGGATGGAGTATTTCCTGTCACATTCCAAGGAGGAACTCACCAAGGGAGTGGGCGCTGTGTTTTGACCGGCTTGGTGCTGCGAAGCCTTGATCCTGGCCTGCAGGTGAGCCGGCGGGTGGAAGTACTTGCACTTGTCCCTGCTGCAGCGGCCCTTTATGTAGTCCATGCACACAATGACGGAGTTCTCGCTGCAGTCCACCATGCCGGCCTCCAGGGGGTGAGCGTAGCGGCAGTCGCTCTCACCCCGTGTGCAGTTGCCGCGCTGGAACTCTCTGCAAACCTGGCAGGGCCACCGGGAACGCCGGTCAACATCTCCCTTTCATCGAGCTTCGACTAAACTTAGAAACGCAACAACTGCACATGGGCTGCATACCTCCAGCTTGTCTGTGCGAGTGTGCTTCTGCGCCGAGGTGCCGTTGCCCATCGCTGTGAGGCCGGTGGGACTGCCGGGGACGAGGAGGGGCGTGCTGGGCAGCAGCTCCGGCATCAGGCCAACGGCTGGGCCCATGTGGCTCAGATATGGACTGAACGCCATGCCGGGACTCGATGCCAGGGATGGAGTCACTGGAAAGGTTGTCTTTAAGCGAAAGGAACCAGAGACAGCGTTAATAACAAAGCAAAATACTAACAAATACTAAGCTTAAAATACTAATAAGAAACTTTCATTGTAGCATCATTGAACTACAACTTTTAAAGAAATTTTTAAAAAGTTCAAATTTACAGTTCAATGTACGAAAATATTTGATGGTTTGGGTATAAAACATTTAACAATAAATTTTAAAATGTAAATACCACTGTATTCAGAAGGCCATTGCATCTGTGTAAATTTACCAATTTGGGTTAGAAAACTGTTCTAGTCTCTGTTTTCAAGAAAAAACTAAAAAGTAAAACATAGTTAAGGTCAGATCAGAGAAATAATTTCAACTAATCTGCGACTAATTTATTAAGGCATGATGTTCTGAACTTTATAACTTCCAGCCCACAAGAGCCACAAAATCTTAAACAATAAGTTCAACTCAGCAGTTACACATTTTGCATGAGCTAAAAAAAATAACATAAACAAAATCAGGTAAACCTGTTGAGGTTTTACAAGAAAACAATCCTAAGTTTCTTCATGTTTTGCTTAAATGAATATTAAACTTTTAATATGATCTTAGTTTTCAGCTCTCCAGGGTTTCCGTTTGCTTTCTGGACTACATGCGATTTACCAATAAAGTAATTTGACTTCATTAAAATTTGCAACACTTCAAATTGCTCCAGCTGTTGTTGAATATGCAGGAACAAGTGAATATTTATTCAGAAAGGCTGAGGCATCAATATTAATGCAAATCAAAGCAGCGCAGAATGAGAAATCTTTAACTAAATATTCTGAAAAGCACCACATTAAGAGAGAAATCTTAGATCCGTCTTTGTCAGAGTTCATGTGTGTTTTATCCTCAGCTGCTCACAATCGGCTGCAGTTGTGCTCCGGGCAGCATGAACTGCATCTGTTGAGCCAACATGGCCGCCGCGGCCTTCTGCTGGATCAGGTTGTTTCTTCCATTAATCTCCAGCTGGGTTTTCAGGTGCGGAGGTGGGTGCAGGTATTTACAATTTTCTCGTGTGCAGCGGGCCTGAGGAGGGAACAGAAAAGAAGGAGGCAGAGGGTGAGAGAGCAGAGCGGAAGAAAAGAAAACAACAAGCGCGAAAAATTAAATGGATCAAAGCTGGGTTTGGTTGCAAACGACCAGAGAACTCTCAAATTAAGCAGGAAATTTTATATTATTGTTAAAACTCAATTCAGTCGTGCACAATTTAATTACATTAGTATTTTCATCAGTCCTTCCAGTTTCTCGTCATTAATTCACACAACAATTTTCTGCAAAAATGCCCAAAACCATTGGATTCAAGTGATACTCACTCCCACCTGCAGGTGGCAGTATTTCTTACCGCTACTACACTGCAGAGTTACTGCATGTAAGGTCACACTATGTGATCAAGAAAGTGAGTTGCAAGTGCATGAAAGCATATTAGGGCCATTGCAGATATTGAACAAAAGAGGAGTAAATTTCCACCAAAAAACTCAGAAATTGTGAATTTATTCTACAAAAAACTCAGGAGGAAATTAAATTCCCAGGGTTAAGAAATGAATACACATTTAAGGTGAAGAGTGCTGCATGAACACTGCAGCTCGTCACAGCTAGAGAAGAAACTGCAGTCTTCCTCTGACTCCCGGGCCAACAGTGCATCTCCACCGCTGCAGAAAAGCAGTAAACCTGCTAATCTGCCTCCTCAGAGCACCAACCGGGCCGTATCATGAAGACAGCAATAAAGGAAGGGAAAATTAGAAAGTCTGACGATGAGCTGAGGTCATATTGCGGGTGATCTGACAGTGATGGATGGGGACACAAAAAATGGTTTAGCACCAGGCAGGAGGACTTTGCATGACAACAGGAGACACTGCAGAGTCTGTGTTGCCAGAATCCTTTAGCATCAGAAAATAAACACACAGGTGAGCCTGGAGCTGCATGACAAGCGGTCCGACAATACGGAGGACCCCCAGCCGAGACACGAGCAAGCTTTGCGTCAGCAGGCTTGTGTGCTTAGGGATGAGTTAATAATGAAGAGAAAGTCCCAGGAGCCCAGCACTGCTGCTCCACGTCGGAGGGGACAGAAAAGCACCTCTTAATTATCTAAAGCGTCGCTTAGAAAAATAAACTACATCAGGGTCTGAATTGGGGATTCGGCAGATGTAAAATGTGTCATGTGGCTAGAAAAACTAGAGAAAGAAGCCTCACAAAGAAGCGGTGCTGAGGAGAGGCCGGGAATCTCCGTCTTTTGGTTGCCGAGGCAACGCACTACGCAACACAGAGGAAGGCCGCAGACTGACAGAAGAGAGAGAGATGAATAAATATGATCTTTGGGATTGCTGCTCACATTTTATGCCTTTATCTAAGGCGTAACAGCAGAAAAAACTCAAATGATTTTATTTAGTGTTTATTTGGCTTTAATTTAGGAGAAAATAAGAGAAAAAGTGCATCATTACACAGCTAAAGGTATTCAGTAAAGCTACCAGTCAGAGGAGTCCCAACTTTGATGCCAAAACTGTTAATCAAAAGTACTCAGTAAAATGCAAAGAAAACTAATATCAAGCAAATATTCCAAGTATTCCAAAAATAAATAATACTTATTTATTTTTTTGTTCTTTGTTGTAAATGGATGCTTTAATTGGAAATATATATATATATATATATTTATAAAATAGAACTAGTTCCAATTCCACTGACAGATTTTTTTCTCTTGAAACACAACATCTTTTCCATGTAATAAATAAAATAACCTGCCATTGGAACTGGTATTTTTGTCAGTATTCCAAGAATTATTTACTCAAAACAAACTCATATGTCTTGCTGAAAAGCTACTTGTAAGTTAGCTTTGTCGTATTTAAGGGTATAATAAGATTCACACTAGAAACTAGAGAAAATAATACTTAGTAAGATTTTGTGTTTTTGCAGTGTAACTGTCGCTTTAAAAATCTAACAACTATTAGTGGTTCATTTTGATAAAATAATCCAAGAAAACTCTGTCCAGCGAGAGAAACGAATGTTTTAGTTAGTCCGCTGTAATCAGACTCCAGTTTGCTTACATAGGCGGTCCGGTTCGTTTGGGGATGCGTAACCAAACACTGATGCGGACCAGAGTTCCCACAAACCTCGGTTTGGTTCGGTTGAACTCTGGTGCGGTTAAAATGCATATGTGAATGCAAGTGGGCTGGAGACCTGTCCAAAAGCAGGAAGCGGACTATACCACATGCCATTCTGGGTAAATACATAAAAAACAAATGCTTGAGTTTCGCACTAGCGGTAGAAACAGCTAGTGGTCTTTGGCCAAAGACAAAAAGGAATCTTAAAACCACTAAAAACTGATGCCACAGTTTGTTTACATTTTGTGAAAAAGGAAGTTGCGCTCAGTGTTTTCTGAAGTTTTTGTCATTTCATTCAGTGTTTCTTGGTGCAGTGCCACCACAGGCAAGGAGTGGAACGGGTTTATTCAATTAGTTTGGTTTGTTTGATACAGTGTAATGTGAAAGAGAACTGAAGCAGCAAATGTTACAATTTTGGCCTTTAAACTGAGTCTACCTGTGTTTCAGACGTTCATCTAACCTATATGAACAAATCTGCTGTCTGATGATGGACAAACGGGATTTCCACACTAATCACATGAGATGACAGCAGCACTCCAGTTAACAAGGTAAGGAGAACTAAGTGGTGAGCCGCTCCCTCCCTCCTGCTGAAGCCCATTCAGGCAGGACCGACAGACCTAATGGAGAAGCAACGGGGAATGACAGCGGTTGGCTTGAGTCGGCCTGGAGATGGCACATACGGGAGGGAAGCCATTAGCAGATAAATCCATAAAATTAACGTGGAAGGGGAGGGGAGGGAAGAGTGATGCCATGGGGGACAGAGAGGTGTTTCACAGTTGACCAAAAACAGAATCAGCTGAGTGTAATCATCAAACACACAGAGGCGAAGGCTCTGCTTCCGGAGATGTTTGTTTACTGCAGCCCTCATAAAGGAGAGACTGACTCGACCTTCAGCTGACTCCAACCTCAGTCTTCTCCCGAGACGGTCAAATTAGGCTTTTAATGGTTCCTCGATACCTTTGGTATATATATATATAAAGCGACTCCCTCTGTGCAACCGGTTCAAAACCAGGCTGTTGCTCTGTGCTAAAAACAGCCATGCCACTCAGAAAGATCAAACTATCCAATGGGTGTTCAGTCCTGTGCTGTTGCTAGGCCCCCTCTCTCTGTCTCTCTTCTCCATCTCCCCCCTCTGCTCCGTAGGACATAACACAGAAAAATGGCTGAATAATAAATTCTAACTCAATAAACCAGGAGACAGCAGCTGCACTCAGACAGAAAGCCCCTTGTCTGGGTCTCGACTCTTCGCTGTAGAAAAGCTTTGAGAAAAATCCCTCACAAGGCTGGGAAACACAACAACAGTCTGTGTAGAACCTGAAATAACTGTCTTTTTTTTAACTGATGCTACCTTAAAATGTTAGTTATTATCACTACAGAGTGGCTTATCCTCCTCTATATGCAGAGTGTTGATGTTGTGGTTCTCAGGTGGAGGAGAGAGTAGCAGCAGTGATGGAGAAGCAGATCACCAGTAGATGGTCGACTATGAAGAAACGATTACGTGGTGGAGGCGTAAAGTTTAAATTTCACCCAATCGCTAATGTTTGGCCATGATGTTTGAAATGCTCTCACAGCTAAGAGAGAATATCTGCTCATGCTAACTCAGTATCTGCAAGCATGATTAATTAATTTTCAAAATTAAAAATGAAGCTAAAATATTTTCCTTACAATAAGTGAATACTGTCCACATTCATTAGTGTCATTATTCCATAAATCAATTCATTACAATTAATCAGATTAATAGTTTCAGCCTAAGTTATGTTATTTTAATGTTTGAGTCTATAGGAGTCTGTATTTCACCTCCTAGTCAGAGGTAGTATATTTAAAATGCACCATTAAAAAGATCAACGCTAAACCTCATGGTTCATGGGACTTATATTTGTATATTTCAGGCTGGTTGCTATGCTAGTATCTGCAGTGCAGTATTTTAATAACCTGAGCCGAGGTTAGACACTTTAGTCCCAGCAAGTTTGTGCCTGGAGGATAAATGCTTATCAATGAGTCACAACTGAAGTACAGGGATAGAGAATTAAAGAAGTAAAGAGGAAAACTCTCAACAGCTGAGCTCAACCTGGAAGAGAGAAGCTGTTTTTCACTGCACTCCCTGAAATTAGACCTAAAGTAAATAGACAGACAGTATATAACCAGTATATGGTTTCTTTCACAAAACATTTACATCGTAATCCGTCAAAAATAAATCCCTCACTCAGAAATAATCAGAAGACTCAATCTTACATAGATTGAGTGATATGACAATTTTAATCAGTTATCTCCCCTCACTTTTTCTAAAAAACATACAAATGACAAATGATAGAAAAGGTTTTCAAAAAGTGGCCGATTATTCTATCTATTATTAACTTTATTTAACATTAGAAATACATGAAAAGATCAAAATAAACAAATAATTCCATTCCTTTTTAAATAAAAAACAAACATTTTGCAGTCAAATAGGTGCAATCAGTGCCCTAAAAATCCTTAATTGTATGTCAACTGATCATAATAATCTAAAAATGCTAGTAAGCAACAATGAAAACTCAATACAGATTAGGTACTAATTTTCACTTAAAGATAAATAGATAAATGGAGAGAGAGTCTTAGAAAGAGTGATGGTTATCTGATATAGAGGATACCTCCTATATACCTTTCACAGGTTTAAAGTTACTCAACAGCTAAACATATGGCTTTTATTTGGAGTTTTTATGATGTTGGGTTGTTGCATGTAGTTTTATTCTTTATAAAGTGGAGCTAATCCCAGCATTTATCATCATCAACATCAACAGGTCAGCAGCCCAACACAGGGAGGACACAGAGTAAAAGAAAATATTCAGAAAAACTTTCCTTCATGGTAGCTAACATGGCGGAAACAAACCAACCAAAACCCCCAGCAGGAACAATGACAAAGTGGAAACTTTATATCTAAATCAGGGACTTTCTAGCTGTGAACAGACCATGCTAACCACCACACCACCATCCAGGCCCTGTTTTCTCTGTACTTTCCTTATATTCATCAGGGAATGATCTGTAATTGTCTATTCATCCGCTTGAAATACATAATTGGCCTAAAACAACAGGGCAGATAAATGGGGCTTTTATTTTTACAGCACTGATCCTGCTTTCAGTTTCATTTCAATGCTTCCCATCCGAGAAACAAAACAAACGTTACCCACCCATTAATCAAAGAAACAGTCCTCTAATTTCCTCCTTATTGTTCAAAAGAAAAAAACAAAAAAAAAAGCCACAATATATAAAATATCCATGTTAATTACAGCTATGTTTTATAGTCTGCCAGTTTTCTGAGAAAACAGTTTTAGGCTCAAATTCACTTCATGTGAAAATATTTTTTATGCAAAACCTGCTTTGTATCTTCCACAAAATGTAGAAGATAAACATTTTCTATATTTTTCTTTGGGTGAAATTTATGTGACTATATTTAGTGTTCTTCAAAATATAATCTATTTTTGTACACTTTTGTAACATTATTATGGTACTTTTATAGTACAAAAGTATAATAGTACTTTTGTACTATTATAGTACTATCTAGTACCATAATAGTGTTAATATATTTTATGCATCCTGGACAGTATGATTTATAATTTACAAAATTTCACTTGGTAGCAAAATTCCCAATTAAAGATTATTGTAATTTGTTCTAAAATAATATTTTTTTCTTAAATGAAACTTAAATAATACAACTTGTAATCTGATGCGTTTATTCAGAAACTCTGAAACACTTAAATGGGACACACATTTTTTAAAGTAAAAATCCAATATCTATGTACTTTTCTATAAATACTAAGGTTATAATAAATGAGATTGAAAGGAAAATGAGATTTAGCACTGATAAACTTTTAATAATTTCTGAAGTTGACTTATTTCTGCCACAGTGTTATTCATGACTAGTTGTAACATCCATTACAGCTAGTCATGAATAATACCATTCATAAATACTCTGATATGAAATTGATCACCAAATTGTGCCCTGAAATGAAGCATAACCCTCTATTTTGTGTGTATCTGTCATCATTCTTGTATAAATAAATAAAAAAACTGCTTACTGCCACTAAATCAAACCTTTCTGCTTTAAGTCACATACGAAAACCAGAATTATTAATATTTGTTAAACACTGGGATATTGACAAAAATATGTTTCTGATAGGTCAGTTTACAACAGTTGAGTTAAAAGGAGGAAAATATGTGGATGTGTTTTAAGGAAACACCTTTAAGTTGCTGATTCTTTGTGAAATATCATGAAAGTTACTCATGACATCAATTCAAGAATCACAGACCTCAACAAGTTTGGTTCATCCTTGCTGCAATTTCCAGATGCCTGAATCACTGATTGATTCAAGCACATTTATGACCCATTTCAGGACAAACACCATGGGATTAAACAAACATGACACCTTCCAGGAAAAAGACGGGATCTATGTCCCACGGATTAAGAAAATTTAATGCGAAAAGTGAAAATCAACCCCAGAACCAAAGCTGATCCAGTGCCAGCATGAACTGAAAGGCCATTCAACGAGAAAGAAGTCGAAACTCCACATAATTATCAAAAGAAAACAAATTAAAGAGAAAGACACAAATATTTAAAGGTTTGCTGAAACTTAAGTTGAAGCATTTGGCCATAATTTTATTAAAATCTAATCAAACTTAGTCATTCTACAACAACAGAATAAAAAATGTGTGCAGCCAACTTAGCAAGAAATAAACAAAATGTGGAAATTATTAACAAAACAAATAATAATGCTAAAATTATGCATGATATACAAAAGACCAGCTATGTAAATAAATAGTGCTTAAGTTAAAGTCTCTATTGTACATTATAAAATTATATACGGATGTTTTATTATTAATTCAGGGTCATTATTGTTTATGGATGAAGAAAATTAGCATTGTCCTTTTGATTTGTCACAGTAACATTTTGCTGGATGATAAATTATTGTTCCAGTAATTATTGCAATAAATTACAATATTATTGTCTTCAGACCATTTTCAAGTAATAAATTGATAATGGCATAATAATGCAAGTTTGCCTTCTCAATGACCAATAAACAATCATTTTGTAAAGAACACTTAACACTGGAACTGGTAGATATTTTAAATATCCAAATAATAAAATAATGAAAGAATAATAAACACAACTGAAACCACAAATAAAAGGGATTAATAACCAAGAGGCAACTAATTGCATATTGCAACAGGTTTATTGTTATTTGCTTTTGAGACTGGAAAGACCAAATAAAGTTTGAAGTACAGAGGTGGCAGAATAATGCTGTGGGGCTGTTTTGCTACAGGAGAAATTCAAGATCTTCACGTCAATCCGAAAGTTCACGCTTGGCCACAAATGAGCTCTCCAGATGAACAACGTCTAACACTGCTAAAGATTGCTTAAGGACAACAAAAACAATGTTTTGGAGGGGCTCTGATCTCTAGATGATTTGTGGGCCGATCGGAAAATGTGTGGCTGGCAAAACTACCTATAAATCTGAATCAAATACACCAGTTCGGTCAGGAGGAATGGGTCAAATTTCCAGCGAACTATTTAGAGAAGCTTGTAGAAGGAAAACCAAAACACTCAATCCAAGTTAAACAGGTTATCAGGCAATGCTGCCAAAAGTTGCTCTCTAATTAATTTTAAAAATCGATTATTCAAGATTAATCATGACTAATTTGACTATTTCAGTCCTAAATCCAACCTGACTTAAACCAGGAAAATATAGTCAAATCTAATGCGAGACCGTGAGAAAAAGATTGTTTTAGTTTATTTCAAGAATCAATTAATAACGACTAATCTGATTGTTTCAGCCTGTATTCCAGCCTGACTTAAAAAAGGAAAAAATCATCCAATTAATGTTAGACAATGAGAAGATTGTTCTAGAGTTTATTTAAGTATTTCATTAATCATGATTAATCACTGACTTAAAACAAGAAAAAATAGCCAAATTTAAGGTCAGTTTATTTCAAGAATTGATTAATCTGACTAATCGATTCATTCCTATTTCCAACTTGACCTAAAACAGGAAAAAAAAATCCAATTTTATTTCAGATAGTGAGAATATTGTTCTAGAGTTTGTTTAAATAACTGATTACTCCTGATTGATCACAATTAATCCGATTAATCATTTCATCACTGACTCAAAACAGGGGAAAAATAGTTTAATTTAATGTCAGAGAGTAAAAGGTCGTTCTACAGAGTATGTAAATATGTGGCCCGAGAACTACTAACTTTCCCAGACGATCAAAACCCCGACTGAAGCCGACGTGTCTGACACAGAACTGGAGGAACAAACGAGCTGTAATGCGGCAGGAGCCGATGCGTGCGTGATGTGCGCTGCGTTGTTACCTTGAGCGAATCAAAGCAGGCGATGACTCGGCCGTTCTCCACATGGCAGCTCCGGGAGGGATGTGCAAACTTACAATCGGTGTCAGACCGTGAGCAGGTGCCTCTCTGGTACTCGCGACACACTTCCAAGGTCAGCCATTTGGTGTCTCGTCCCATGGTCATGCTGACAGCCATCTGAGATGCTCACAGACACTGAGCAAGGGGTGGGAGCGAGTGGATGGAAAAAAATGGTCTAATGCGAGCAGGGCTGACTAATAGTGATTCAAGAGAGAGAGAGAGAGAAAAAAATCCCCTTGGGGGAAAAAAAAGCAAAAATATTTTTCCTTCAGAGCAAATAGGTAGCAAGTCCCTTCAGACTGGAGTATTTTGGGGGATGTTTATTAGCTGTTCCTGGGAAAACTGTCAGCTGAAGTTTTACTGGGTGAGATAGCAGGGGTTAACTGGGAGCAGAGACCAGCTCTGTCTCAAGAGAAAGAAAGAAAAACGTTCAGAAAGCATCACCATGGTCCGCTCAGATGCATCTCTACATTTATGTCAACATGGTGAGAGCAGAGGAAGTCGCCGCAGCTCTGTTGTAGTTGTTATTCTCTGACAGACAGACAGAGAGGAAAAAGCAGAACCTTACACCCGTAGTGTCCTTGTAATGACGAGGCAAAGCTTCAGCTCGGCTCTGGGTATGTGGGGACTGCAGCTCAGCAACGTGGGATGGATGACTTTGTGGCTGTCAGGACAAAATATAGCCTCCATTCAAGGCCAAACGCACACTGAGCCCTCTCTCCTGCTGTAGGACAAAACCGTAATGTAGGCACTTTGGAGTCCTGCTTCCTCCTCTTACTTGAGTCTGCTTCTCATCCCTCCGTCTCTGTTGCCTCTGTTGTCATCCTCACTGACCTCTCCGCTGCATGTCTTTGCTCGCTGTCTCACTGTGAATTGCAGAAAACAGAGAAAAAGCGACCGTTTAGGCTGGAAACTGCTACGTCTTTCAGATCACGGTGCAGGAGAAGAAGAAAACAAGCAAAACAGAGGAGGGAAGGAGGCAGCAATGAACAGGAAAAGGCAAGCTATGTCTTGATTAAACGATACAGATAGGAGAGAGAGAGGGAGGATGGAGGGAGGTTGCAGGCAGGACAGAGACGTCACCTCAACTCATTTACTTTCTGCCCTGCGGAAACTGGACATCAACGCAAGATGTGGTGAGTAATATTCTCCTTGACGTAGCAAAGTTCAGTCGATTCCCCCAAATGAAGACATACGGAAAAGACGACACAGCATAGATCTTCACAACTACAGCTGCTGTGTGTAAAGCTAAGCAGCAGCCAATCACGCTGCGTTTTACAGCCAAGCAAAGCATCTGACTGATCAATGAGGAAGCACAGTAGAGGGAAGACTCCTCCTTTTACAGACCCTGCCCTTGTTCCTCACTTTTTCACACTGGAGCCAGCACAGTCATGACAGTCACGTCTGAACCACATGCTAATATTCAAACTGTGCAGCAGCTCTGCCTGCACACAGGGACAGAGGAGTTTCTCGCTTCTCGCTCAAACATACTGCAGCGTGATGCAAGGATGATGCATGCAGACCTCTGTTCTGCTCACAGTCAGAGAGCAGAGTCACGTGGCCAGACACTAAGTGAATACAGATATTAAGACACACAAGTGCATGACGAAGGAACTGTTGTAGCTTCATTTTTAATTTAAAAGATGACATGTAAAGGGAAGTAGAGCTGAAACGACTAATTGGATTAATTCTGATTAATTCTGATTAATCGATTATTGCGGTAAACTGTAGAACAACCTTTTTTCTCACTGTCTGACATTGAATTCAAATTATTTTCCTGTTTACATCAGATTGGTTTTGGGGGTGAAATGATTAATTGTGATTAACAAATATTTGAAATAATCGTCAACTAATTTAGTAACAATCATTAACTGGAGACTTCAGAAAAGACTGTTTTCTGAAAAAACAAAATATTCAGAACAGGAGTTATTCTTCAACTTTTATTTAGCCAAGATAAAACTCCCTGCGGTCAAATATCTCTTTAAGAAGTGTGAGCTATAAAAAACACGTTACAATATCAACATCACAATCAAGCCAAAAATGTACAAAAATATAAGAATTTTGCATTTAAGATAAAGAAAAACCTCTTTGTCTGTAAATATGCTCTAAATTTGCAGTTTTATCTTCACCTGGTTCAAATTCTGTAAAAGAAAATCCTGTTTAACACCTTTTATTTATTAATCGCTTAATCCAAACTATAGTAAATAGGTGATTCCTACATTGTAGGAATCATCAGTTCAGCATCAAGGGGTGAGTTTTTTACATATTGTTGTTAGAAGTTTGTTTTTCCTGCAGATCTTTTGCTAGAAATAATCAAGTATGACAATACTATGACATTGTAATTTAGATGATTAAATGTTTATTTTCTTATCTACAAAAGGAATTTATTTGTTTATTTGCAAATTATAATACATTTCTAATATTGCACAGAAAAGGCTTAAGAGTAAAATTTGCCAAATGTGCCAGTTTATCTGATTAATCATCGGAATAATCAATTACTAAAATAATCGTTATTTGTAGCTGTAAGGGAAAAACATGGTCTGTGAAACCTTAAGCAGCTCAATAAAGGACAGGAGGAGAAGAGGGCGTTGGAGCAGATATTATCAGCCTCTATGTCTGATGGAAGCAGACACAGACGGAGGAAGCAATGGGGGGGACCACAGTGCAGGAACGAATGTGTGTGTTTGTGTGTGACGGCATGCAGATACACAACATGGACTGGTAATGCTGCAGCAGAAAAAGGAGACCGACGGATGAGCAACACAAAGTCACGTCCCAGGCCAAACAAGAGAGGCAGCAATGAGAGAAGAGCAGGTATAACAATTGCTTCGCTTGCTGAACCATTACGCTTATCGGTGCATCCTCCTCCTCCAAAGCCTACAGATCAATACCAACTTTTCTCTGGAGGGGAACCAGACAAGCGTTCCTCCTGCAGCTTCGCCCGTCCTGCGTTTTATGTCCACGTCAGTGTCAAGAGTCTGTGCTTACGCACACCCTGACGAAGCAAAAAGCATCCGACATCATCAAAAAGCTCCTTAGCAACAGTCCGGACACCAAATGGTGCACAGCTGCCATTGCAACCTCTCGTGGAGAGATATGCAGCAACACTGGCTCATCTCCAAAGCTATCCTAGTTTACACTGCAGCCGGTATCTGTGAAAATAAACAGGAATGACCTTTCACTCACTGATAAAGCGCTCAGGAGTCACTGCAGCTTTGGGATTAAGGATTTTTCACTTAGGTTCACCAAAGCTTCCTCAATTCACTCCAACTGTGCAGATCAGGCACTGAAACATCTCTAAAAATGTAATTCTTGTTCATTAAATGGATTATACCACATTTATTTCTATGGACAATGTTTGTTACATGTAATTGATTAATTAAAACAAAATTTACTTTTCACTCGGCAGACACATTGAGACACAAACACTATTTTTTCTGGCATTAAATCAAGATGAATCAGACTTGATTTCTTGTTAAAATTATTTATATTTACTAAATGCTACAATGATGAGACAGAGGAGATGTCAGATAAATTTGTTAATCAATTCAAAATCAGAAGTTTTCATACATTGCCTCAACATTTGGAAGTATTTTACCTTAAAAATGAAAGATTTGCTTCGAACGTTTTGGGTTTCTTTCCACAAACTTCTGACTCATCTCTGCTGACAGAAACCAAGTCCGGTTTGTAGCACGGAGGTTATTTATGATGGCCAAAACATTGTCTCTGTTTTGGCCATCTTTAGCTGAATGTTGAGTTATTGTCAATGTCTTTGGATGTTGCTTTAATTTTTCTACATTATGTTCCTCAGCCGCACAACATGATGCTGCCACCACCGTGCTTCACAGTTAGAATGGTACAAGCGTCCCCATTTTTCTTCCAAATCTAACAGTGATTCTCATCCTGATATCTTGGCTGATTTCTTTTATTTTCCCCATCATGTCAAATAAGAAGTCGGTGTGCTTCGGGTGTGGCCTAAAACTGTATCTACAGGTATGAGTCTAAATTAACTGAAATGTGTCAGTTAACCTAAAGCGATGACAGCGACAAAAAATGTGTGCATCTTTTATTCTGTGAATGTTCAACTATATTGATGTTACTCTATAAAGAACAGGGACATTTTAATTAAAAACTAAAATTATTTGCTTTAGTATTTAGAAATGAATGTCTGAGACAATATTTTTATACCAACTATAACTGAGATTAGATAAATACATTTTGTAGCAGAATAATTATGATTTCATGATCGTTTGATCACATTAGGTTTTCCAGTTTAGTTTATGTTTTTGTTGTAAATGCTGTGAAGCTCTGGTATTGTCACTTGAGATTATCATGCTGCAGAAATCTCATACTAGACTGGAAATCCTCCAACAGAATTAAAAACTAAATTAACCCCATAAAATGATCATCCTGGTCCATGAAAACCCTGATCAATGCATCCATGACAGCAGACATGAGAGATTAACAGATCTTTAGATAAATGACCAAGCATTCAGTTTGGAACATGTTGGTTCATATTGATCGGGTAACAAAGCTCAGTTGTTTCTGGATAATTATTATGCAACCTCACTCCTCAAGTTACCAGACAATGAAGAAAATTTGAATATTACTTTTACAGTTAATTTAGAGCAGAAAAGCAACATATTTTTCCTGCAGATAAAGTTCTTCTGTCAGACCTATTGAGATGGAACACTAACACATTTTTAACTTGAGTCATAAAATAAAAGAGCTTATATTTGTCCAGTTTTTGCTCTGCAGTCTAAAGAATAAAATTAATAATTAAACAGTGGGGGAGTCTGGAGGTCATAGGGGGCAACATTCAGGTGGAGATTGGCTGGGTGGCACAAGGCGGACAGACGAGAGCAACAGTAGCGACTGTGCAGCGTCCTTCATCAAACACGGAGCAGCAAAAGGCTTCTGACAGCGTAACCTTCAGCTGAGCTCTGACGTCTGCATTATGGCTGCAAACTGAGGGCCATCTAAACAGGATGGCAGCAGAACGGCACAGAGGAATATCCTCATTTTCTATCCAATCTAGGCTACTGCAACATTTCCTGCAAAATGTGTGTTTATGCTCGCTGTGTGTTGGTGTTGGGCATCTGGAGGACACCGGTGGAAATAAACTCTTTGTTTTGTGTTTTTGTCCTTGGCGACAATATTTGATTGTCGTTATGTTAATGATGTTTATTTGTGTTATTGCCAAATAAGCACAACTCATTTTCCCCCATTATTAATAAAAATGAAGAAAATGAATAATAAAAAAAAAGAATCAGATAAATTTAAAAATTGATTGCAATTCAAAATATTTTTGAAGGTATGGCAAAATTATTGTGGGTTATATATTTTTTTATCTTTTCAAATTAGTCATTATATAAATTTGCTAGTACAATTTGAAATGTTTCGCCTTAAATGTCTGAACAAGTAACAAAATATTTACTTATTAAAAACTATCAATGCCTCTTGATACTTGTTTATAAATTAATTTACAACCACAAATAATGTATTTATTATTTTATTTGAATGAATGAATGAAAACAAATGTGAAAGGTTTTGCTTGTATTTGCTTTCACTCCCCTCTACTTCAATGTCCTTAAGTAAAATACAGAACATCTAATCGCCTCAAATTGATTTTTAAATCTCCTTATTGATCACATTTGTCTCAGCTATTTAGAAAGGCAAAACTGACACAAATTATAGTTCCTGTAGGTAGTAAAGACACCCAGTCAAACTTGAAGCAGTAATTAGAGGAAGATGGTTCCACAAGGCAGCTGGATATAAATGCACACCACACTTTTAAGATTCATCTGTAAAAAACGGAAAAATCTTGAAAGTCATGTGTGATTTTCCCTCCCGCTTCACAATTAGACACTGTTTTGACATCATATGAAAATCCCTAAAAACCACAATGACATTTTTAGGATGTAAAAATCTAAAAATGTTCAAAGGTATATAAGACACCAGGAACTTGAGAGGTGGGGAATCTCTGGTAAAACGTCATCATCCTAGTTTTTATTCCCTTTATTGTAAACGGTGTCAGTCAAGTTTTCACTTCTAGTTTGCAAACATTTGGGTTTTTCTATTATGTCCATTTTGGTTATATATGAGAATAGGACGTCCCTGTGGGAGATTTTTATTCAAATTGGAGTTAGCTCACTCAGAAAAGCTTGGTGGTTGTGCAACATCAACTAAAGCTGTGAAAACACGACTTTAATCTTCATCTGCCTTATCTCAGGGTTATCATTCACTAACTTAAAAACAGGTTTTCAAGGATGAGAGCAGACACAGTCCAACATCGGCCACCAAACGTAAGGAAACCAATCTATAAATCACAGTGTGAGAGAAAGGCAGCAGCTTAAACGGAGAGAGCAAAGTAATTAGGTTAAGTATTGGTAATCCTTTCAGCTCGTTAAAAGCACCACAGCTTCAAATCACACAACCGTGCAACACGTTACTTCGACAAACAATCAGCATCACCTGAGCATGAAAATAAATAACAGGCTTTTACAGCGTTGGCGCAAATATAGATATAAAACTGGCCAAAACGCTACAAGCAATCAACAGCAAGATAACAAATAGTGACCAAGTCGTATATGTGAGAGGAGAACTGAAAACTGGTAGCGTGGGAAAGGTGACTCCACGCACGCCTGTCAGCGTGAGCCTGGTTTGTCAGTTTATCTGTGTTTATATTAAGTAAAGAAAAACGAGCCAGACAGGTACAGAGTCCACAGCCGGGAGGGAGTGTTAACTTGTCTTGACTGGCTGTTTTGTTGAACCAGACAAGATAAAGGGCAAACGACCAGTAGGATTGCATACAGTGTATGCAAACCAATAGAGACAACACAGCATGCTATGGCGGTTTAAGTCTGACCCTTTACAGGACAAGCAAGGACAGGACTTCAGAGCTCCTCCACTTGTTGTCTGCACACACACTGATAGCGAAACCTGCAAACCTGCAAGTCAGTAACGAAAACGCAACCTGCATTGGATCTTCATTTCACCTCTGAATGCATTTAACTCTTGCTTGAAAACCTAAACGTGGGAACTGCAAAGGCAGATTATGCTATCTCATAATAATAATAATAAAAAAAACCTTTATACTGGCTTGGATATGGAAATTTTTCACCACATCATTTGTATCCAGACAGAGAAGTCTCAGACCTCCCAGCCCATGTTTAAACAGGAGCGCTATGACTAATTTGCCTGAATTACGCCCATCTTTAACAACAAAAGCCAGCTTTTGCGCGGCCATGCAACAGGCAGGAGTTGCAGAAGCGAACAGACGAAAAATACGAACAAAAACACAATTTCTTTCTATAAATGCGTCAAAGCGCATTAATAATGCTGCAAATGCGCCAGGCGTTTCCCGGCCGCTCACCTGTTATCAGTCCAAACAGATCAAATGTCTTCTTTCAAATCAGCGTCGACTGAAACGAGCTTCTCGGTTCGGTATTTTCCCGCAAAGACTTCCTTATTTATCTGTATGACACTATAGCAGCGCTGCAGCGAAGCGTAGGAAGGATGGCTGAAACAAAACACGCTGGCGAGAAATAATGTTCATAAATAAAATCAGGGCGAAAAGCGCGACGCAGCTGCAGAGGGACAGGGAAGCGGCGGCAGAAATGTCAGCTGTAACTACAGTGGATCGGCAGCAAAGCACTGATCCCAGCAGATAACAGATTTGACCCAAAAAAAAAAAAAAAAGACAAGAGGGAGGGTTTATCAAATGGGAGGAGTTGGACGACAGGGGAGTGTTTGTTTATTATTTATCATGAAGTCACGACTGAATGAAATATGCTGCAAACTGCAGGTAGTAGGAGAGGTATGGAAGTCCATTACTGCCAAGAAATGGAGCCGTTTTTAAAAAACGGCTACTGAAAAACAAACCTGAGACTAAACTTTATTCCAACTCAACAATGGCATTAATATTCATGTTTATCTAAAATGGCTTCATGGCCAGTCATAACGAGTAATGTAGTTAATTTATTAAATATATCTGCATGTAAAGTGAAAATACTTGTTTTTTAAATAACTGGGAGCAACAAAATCAAACTTTCATAAATCATTTGAAAAATTATCAAGGAAACAACCAAAATCCTATGAAACTACTTTTTCCAAAATGAGTTATGATTTGATCTAATTTCTTTTGCTTCTGTACTAAGAATATTTCCTAACATTAAAAGTACTTTGCCACCTCCTGCTGGTAAACCCCAGACTTGCAATTGAGAAACCTTTAAAATCATGAGAGTAAAACAGCAGTTTGATAAATGTAAAAGCATAGTTTATATAAAAAGAGACAAATTCCAATGTTCTACAACATTAGCAGAGAATGCCACAAATTGAGGTACCGATTAACTAATTTTCCTTTTTTGCTGTGAAAAGACACAAGTGAGTACATTTCAAAATATTCAAGACAATATTATGGCAAACATAAAGATTGTTGATCACAAGTCTGTAGTGTTTTCTGAAATAAGAAAAGTCATTTTCTTCCAAGCTGCATTTTCTGAATACCAATGTGGTTAAAGTCCAGAGAAAACAAGGTGAAGGTTGGCGTCATGACAAAAAGAAAAACCTTCCCATTTTTTGACCCGATTAGAAAGTCTGTTTCGACAATCTGTTTAAAGGAGACCTATTATGCAAAATTCACATTTTGCAAACTTTTGTACTTCCACTACTTCTAAAAGAGACTCAAGTTCGAAATGAAAACTTTCCAGACAGTTTTTGGCAGTAAGTTAGTGTTTTTTGGAAAATGAGTCGTTTTAAAAACCTCAAGATTATTGAGTCACTCTGCACAGTCACAAACAGAGATCCAGCACATTTAGTAAGCCGGTCTTAAGGCTGTATTAGATGTACAATGACTGCTGGATAAGACAAGTGTTTTGTTGTTCACCTACCATCCAGAAATTACTTGCTACATTCTTGTTGGTTGTACAGGAGGCTCTACTTCTGCTTTTCAAATGCAGCATTCCCAGAATGCTATGTGGTTCTGGATCAGAGTTCAGTGAAATGGTTAAATATTCTATCAGATGTAATATCTATTGATACTGATCACGTGTCTGTCACAATATATATTGTTAAGGGTTTATTGTCCAGCCCAAGATGTCGGGTTGCGCATTTGTTTGCAGCCATTTTTACCTTACAGTGTTTCATCAGCTTATTTGGATTTAAAGTGACAGAGGCCTTTCATTTTGAAAGGAGCTCAAAATAGGCAGAACTGAGCAAGCTAAAATCTAAGAATAATTTTGTGCAAAAAATGTTACAAACATGGTTTGTATATCCTATAAACATATCCTAGACTGTTCAAGGAAGCATAACAGGTCACCTTTAAAATAAATAAATCAAAGTCACGTTTAAAACATTTCATTGTCACAAAAGAATAAGAGAAGAAGGCATGTACTGAAAATAACCTGAATTAGCAAAAACTGACAAGGCAGCTCTTGGTACGCTTCCTACAAAGACAGCTGTGTGCTACCACTGCTCCACGTTGCCTATGTAGTCCTCCATGGTGCTGTTCTCATCTACATCCCACCAGTCTGACAGAAGCACTTCGGACTCCAGGCTGTCCTCCGTTCGACGCTCTTCGGTCGAGCGCGTTGTTTCAGTCGGCTTTGGCCGCCGCCCTTGTTTTGCTGAGAATCTCCCTCGGAGCCGCCTCCTCTCCTGTTGTCGCCGCTCCCTGGCCTGCCTGCGCTCCTGCTGTCTCGCCACCTGGAAGCGCTGCAGGAAAAGGTCACGGGCGTACTCATACAGCTCCACGTCCCACCGGTTCAGCTGGCGAATCCTCTGCTGCGTCTCGGTGGGTACCTCAACGCTGGAAGCTCGCGTCCCGTTCAGCTGCGTGAAAGGTGCGATGAACTGTAAGTTGAAGGTTCTCTCGAAGAGGTACTGCGTCTTACGCTGGTACTCGGTCAGGCCGAAGAATGCCATCCCTTTCAGGTTGCGCTTGGCGCTGTCCAGTAGCACCGCCCAGCGCTCGTCTTCGCCCATGGCGGAGACGTTGTAGCAACCCACCAGACTGAGATCTGCCAACATGCGGGTCTGTCGGTTGTTGGCCAGGTTGTAGGGGCAGTCCATGAACTCCTGCAGGGAGCAACCCGACCAGTCGTCGCCTGGATAGCAACTTGGCAGCTCTGACAGCGTTGGTGAACGTCCGTCGCACACGTGGAGGGAGGCTTTCCAAGTGGCTCCGCGTTGCACGTGACGCCACTCGCTCAGGTAACGCGAAACGGGATCTCTTAAGATCGTTATGTAGTAATAGTTTCTACTAGAAAGAGGAGAAAACGGAAATTAGTGTTTGCAATTAGGACAGTAGCAATAAGCAAAAAATTAATTAATTGTATGATAAATTAAAACAAACTCAATTTCCATTTGCATGACTTATCGTTTTTCTTTTTTTTTTTTTATTAAAAAACTGAATAACCAAAACTTTCAGTCTGGTGCTTTGGACTCAACTCGTCCTTTCATTCAAGGACTATTTTGTCTACAGAAACGTCATAATTTATTTTATTTATTGTTTCTGTTGTTTTGTTTATTTACTTTGGATATTTAAAAAGATATTCTGATTCCAGTGTTAAAATGTCCATTACAATTTAAAGTTTACTGATCTTTGAGAATATGTTCTTGTAATATTATGGCATTACAAGAATGTTAGTTGAAAATGGTCTCAAAATAACAATTGATATTGTTTATCAAAATAACTTCTAGGACAATTTGTTGTCCAGCTAAATTTGTTATAATGGCAGGCCTAAATTTCTAGATTTTCAATACATTAGGTTTATATTGGTATTCCCCAGCTATTATTTTCCATTTACATCAAAACCTGGAAGATAAAAATTGCTCAATAACGTGAATTTAACGTGATCTTCCTCTAACCTTGGCTGGTTTTTCTGGGCCTCTCTGGAGTCCATGCGCGATGGGACACAGTGGGTCAGCTCAGTCCAGTCCGCATGAAGCCCGCAGCTCCATCCGGTGGAAAACCGAGAGAAGAGCCAGGTTTCCTTCTTACCTGGCCGGAGGCAGGTGCACTTCTTCTGGCCTGCGTGACACTCACAGGGCCTCTCCAGCTGGATGTTACGCACCAGGTGTCGCCCAAAAGTTGTGCCCCCCGTTTTCTGGATGTGCAGAAATACAATGACATCATCGCCTTTGATGTTGAAGTCCACTTCCCGGTTCAGGTCGGCGCTGGTGAAGTTGAAACGAGGGACAAATCGGGCCAAAGCGCCGTCTTCTGTGATGTAGGGGTCCTTCTGGAGCCCGACCTGCGATTCACCGTCGCCGGTTCGGATGCCAGGTCCGCCCCTGAGGGTGAACCAGGCCCCCAGCTGGTGGAGCATTTGGCACTCGGAGCTGCTGGGACAGGCATACTGGACCATGAAAACGCCGAAAACCGCCACCATGAGCAGGAAGAGCAGGAGCCGCTGGTGGCTGCTGGTGGACTTCTCATCCATCTTCCCGAACCCGATGAAAAACCATCCCTCGGGTCCCCGTTTCAGAGCAGCAGACAGGAAACAATAACAATGCAGCTGAAAGCCGAGAGCGAGCGGCGTTAGGTAACCAAGTAGTGAATCACAGCGCAGCGCTGTCCGGGTCCATCTGGGTCTTACGAGGCAGAACCGGGCGGTTCTGTTAACTCTTGTGGACGGTTTAGTGGTTTAAAATGATCTTCTTAACAGGGCTAATGCTCATCTTCAGCACCAATCGATTCTTGACCTTTCTTCCCGTGAGTCACTGCGCGTAAACGTGCGTCATCCCGCTACGTCAGCGTGGACTTCATTTCCAGTGTAGTTTTTTTAGGGTAAAAATGCAAGGAGTTGCCTACAAATGTTTTAAATGATTCAAAAATAAAACAAGAGGTTTCCGAAGAAACATTTTTTAACCAAACATTTAATTAAAAATGCTGAATATGATACTTTAGTTGAAATAACGTCATGAAGAGAAAAATTCATGAAGGTGTGAACTGACAAAATTTATATGAAAAGCAGTTTAAAAATGAAATTCCTGTTACTACATTCACCAGAGGTGTTAAAAATCCAGGTACTATTGAAATAAATGGCTCCATTAAAACGTGGGTAAATTTTTTTCTAATTTTTATAGAAATGATAAAAATGTAATTCTTATGATAAGAAGAAATTTATTATGATATCAATATATAATAGATGTTTATAAATGCATAGATCTTCATCTGACATTGTTTGCATGTATGCAAGTTTGTAAGCTTGAACAACATAAAGCCACAATAAACATCTGAATGAGTGATTATGTAATATGATACGATATGTATATGAATGCATTAGGAAATTTCTTTCTTATTTTGAAATTAGATAATTTATTTGAATGATTTTTTTATTTCATTGCAGTATTTAAAATACCAATATTTGCACATAAATTCATGTTTTGGTCTGACTATTGACATCATTTTTAATATTGAATCAAATTTTACATTCATTTACTCAGTACTCAAGTTGTTGTTTTTGATCAAAGACTTTTTACTCCTACTTAAATTATTTCTAGGGAAATAATTTTACCTGAAAACAAATATTGTTTCATTTTGTCTTAATTTCTGTGCTGCAATCTGAAGTAGGATTGTAGTTCTCACAATGAGCCACCAGGTGGCGGCATTTAACAATCATGACCTCAAATCACAAGCCAAACTGTTTTTCTCTG